ATGTGTAGCACACGTGCATTTATCTGTCGTAGCAGAAAACATTCACTGGTTCACTACGCTCACTCGTAGATATATTTCAAAAAATGATCTGTGTGGTATCGCTCAAGTGTCAAGCTGGAGTGGTCCATGTGAAAGTTTAATTTGATGCGAATTCCTACGATGGCCGAAGGCGGCCAGGCACATTTGAAGCATGTATAGTTCGTTTGTGTACCATGGTACATTTTTGTGTGGTACAGAAACGAAGCATTTATGCTTCGTTTGTGTAACACACAAAAGTGTACCATGGCCGCTTTCGGCTGTACAATTGGACAGAAACGAACAATAAAATTGTAACGCAGAAGTGTACCACAAAAGTGTACCGGGGTACACAAACGAAGGATAAATGCTTCGTTTATGTACTACAAAAGTGTAACGCGGGACAGAAACGAAGCATAAATGCTTCGTTTGTGGACCACACAAAAGTGTACCATGGCCGCTTTCGGCTGTACAATTGGACAGAAACGAACAATAAAATTGTAACGCAGAAGTGTACCACACCAAAGTGTGCCATGGTACAGAAACGAATCATTTATACTTCGTTCGTGTACCACGGTACACTATTGTGTGGCCGAGAGCGGCCACTGATAGGAAATGACCCTGAGCTATTAATTTTCCGATTAAAACATAACGGGTTGCCGCCGTGGGAAGTTGAGGTCTGTCGTAACTCTTCTTTGGAGGGCTCATACAGGATACGTCTTGTTTATTAAAAAAAAAAATGTTAAGATAAAAAATATGTTAATTATCATGTGAAATATATGCATAGCGAGATTAAAAGCGATATGCATTTGACGTTTAAATTTGTTATATATACCGATACGGGACCTTATGCTATTTTCCTTGATGATTTACTTGACGGCTACCACAGTCTCTTCCACCCCCAAATGGGCCGATGTTTGGGTTTAAAAATATCCAGAGCGTAAGCCTTGGTTTCATATCCTATTACTGCGATAACCTTTCGAATGAGGAACATTCCAAACGCTGACGAGGTCAATAGGCCAATGCCCGTTTAAAAGTGCACCATGGCCGCTTTCGGCTGTACAATTGGACAGAAACGAACAATAAAATTGTAACGCAGAAGTGTACCACAAAAGTGGAACGCGGTACACAAAAGAAGAATAAATGCTTCGTTTGGGTACCACACAAAAGTGTACAGTGGTACACAAACGAACTATCCATGTTTCAAATGTGCCTGGCCGCCTTCGGCCATCGTAAATTCCACAAATAATATTGATTTATCTCCCTTCCAGTTTGTCCTAACAAATACAATTGGACCATCAACAGGGAGTAGGGGGGACAACTCCTGAAACCTTGATTGCTGTTCCGTGTGTAATTCCCTTCAATCGTTCTCCTGTTCGTTGTTTTTCTCGTATACATATTTGACATTATGTGACTGACATTTATCATCTCCTTTATTATCATGAGTTATTTTTTGTCTGCCATACTAATGTCTTATTTGAAATTTTTATTCGTGCTGCTTCATACAATTTAAGAAAAGGTGTCATTTCCTCTCTAACATGCTGTTGGAATTGAAGTGTTTTTGTTTCACGCATTTATTTTCGGCAACGGATCAAGCGAAAATAAAACAGTTTTATTCGTGTCATTTTATTTTCGAAGTGTCTCTAGACTGCCTTTTCCCAGATGCAGGACTATAACCTTACCGTGATAGCTATAATTATCAAATGCCTTTACATGAAATACATTAATATTACTTGTAATATAAGCTTCATAGTGTACAACGGCGTTCATCTTCCCTATGAATGCCAACTGAAAAAAGCTGAGTGTTCATATTAACTGAGAACATATACAGTATACATAGAAGTACTTTGTATTTAGTCATACTTCACTTGTGTAATATCCGGAGTACAATGGCCTTACCAAGACGGTAGCACATGCTTTTAACCTGACTAGTATGTCAGTCCTTGTTTTGTGCTTGTTTCCGATAGTTAGTCATCACTTCGTGTCAGGAACAAGGGATCAACACGACACCTATTTTTTCCACACCCAAATCTATCACTTCTTTTAGAGGTCTACTTATTTATCATCATCACTTTCTGTGAGTTTATCAACTTTGAAGTTTTATGATTCACGACTTAGGTTTTAATTGTTTTACATGTACCTTGAGAATGTACGGTATTCATTACTTCGAATTTCATCTTCAAACCCCCTAATAAACGCTCCCAGTGACAAGGCTGAGATAGAGGAAATCGAGAGACGGATGTATTTCCTTGGAAACGTAGACAGATTCTATGAGAACATTTACCTAACCTTCATGACTAGTTCTTCGTGTAGTCGTTCCGGCTAATAAGTTTTCAATATTAAGATATTTTTTTCTGTAAATACTAAATAAACTGTCCATGCACACAACCTGGCTTTGTTATTTCTGGCAATGTCACCTGCGTCCCATCAACAACTGTATAGTCTTGATTTTGACCAATCTTGTAAGTGCTCGAATTATTTGCTATATAAAACAAACACACATATTTACCTTTGCTATATTGGACCCTTTAATTGTACAGTAGCCTTAGTTATAACAAACAACAGTTTGTTGTAGAATCGTCCTGCAATTGAAGTAAACTACTTTCCATTCTCTTAAAAAAATATTTCGAAAGCTGAACAGATGGACTTGTGAGACATTGCTTATTCATGATAAGGCAAGGATCAAGCGTATCTTTTAAAATTCTAAAGATACGTATGGAGAACCTTTGACATGCATTATTTATTCACAATAAGTTATGATATTTTGACTTGTCTATGTCGAACTTTTCTGCATGTATAGTACAATTCTACATGCCAAGCTAATACGACTTCTTTTAGACACAAACACAGTTTCTGTGTATTAAAGAAATGGAGCATTTGCCTAACCTTTATTTTTGTATCCAAAGAATGTAGATCATTTCTGATTTCTTGCTATTATACTTACACTACTAATATGGATATTTCGTTCCTATGTAGTTTTAATATCAGAGTAAATCTGTCTATAACCCCCGTGTACATGGTGTATACATGAATGTTATGTACTTGTTTTGATGTGGTATCGAACCCCCCAGAGACCAGATATACATTGGTCGGAAACCCGGGAGACTGGTATCATTCACAAGGTACCAACAATTACTTGTGATCTGTATCAATAATGCAGGGTCAGTATAATTAACCAATTTCACACGGATCATTATAATACCCCGCCAGCATCCACACCAAGGTCATCCGTCACTCGCCAGCAGTTCACGCTGACAAATCCAGAATGACGTCATCACATTGACAATGCCTTAACAATAAATTGGATTCATTGGTGCACTTGAAATTAACTGCCTTCATAACTGCCTGCGCGTTAACCGATATGAAGCTTAACATGGACGCTGCGACTGACTTCACTCACGCCATTGAGTAGAATGAGGTTCATTAGCAACTTTACCAACGGTCAACGCTATATTTGGGTAAGAAGCAGGAAGACAGGTAAAGATGATGGGTGCCGTTATCAGAAATGCGGGCATATATTTCATGCTGATATCGATCTGTAGTCATGATTGATTGTGCTATATGAACGCCCCGTGGTAATGTGTATGTCCATTAACGCCCTCTGTGGACGCCGGCATGTTAATTGAATTACACTGATGACCAGATTATATATACACTTACATGTATAAACTCCCGCCTGAACGGTGTCTCGGGACATCGATACCAACATGCATGCATACTGACGGCCCCATACAATGGTCCAGTACCCTGTACAGAAATTACGGCCCAGTATCATGTACAGAAGTTACAACCCAGTACCCTGTCCAGATATAACGGCCCAGTATCCTGTACAGAAGTTACGGTCAAGTACCCTGTCCTGTACATGTACATACGTAACGGCCCAGTACCATGTACAATGTACATATGTTACGGCCCTGTTCCCTGTACAGATGACACGGCACGGTACCCGATACAGAAGTTACGGCCCAGTACCCTGTACAAACATTACGGCCCAGTACCATGTACATATGTTACGGCCTTGTTCCCTGCACAGATGACACGGCACGGTACCCGATACAGAAGTTACGGCCCAGTACCCTGTACAAACGTTACGGCCCAGTACCATGTACATATGTTACGGCCCTGTTCCCTGCACAGATGACACGGCACGGTACCCGATACAGAAGTTACGGCCCAGTATCCTGTACAGAAGTTACAGTCAAGTATCCTGTTCAGATATTATAAAGTTCAAGTTCAAGGCCCAATACACTCTACATGAGAGCTGGTTCTTGGTCAGCGTCCTTCATTTGGGTATTGGCCCAGTATTCAGTACAGGGAATACCAGGCTAGGTTCATTTGCCAATCCAGGACCGCCAACATTGACCCAGTGGACTCTGAAATATAACCGGAATTCATTTCATGGTTTGTCCGTCCACCATCCGCCCATCACAACATACATTTGGTCAACAATCTATATTTATGATTCGAAACTAAGCCTCGGTGTCATATCAATTCACAGAAATTTTATAGTCTTGCCTAAAAGTTATATTCCATAGATCTGTCCAATCCGAGTCAATGTCAACACACGCACTGACATTATTAAAGTCGTTTAAATCTTGTACCTCTGTAAGTTAAAATTAAAATCAAACTTGTAACGAACTTTGCCGTAAGACAGCCAATGTTATTAAAGTATATTTACGTTTCCTTTAAAAGTTCATCAATAAACGCAGTTTGATCAGCGTCATTGTATAGCTTCCCCTCCCGCCTCGATTAACGTGAGATAACCGTTAGAATCAAACATTTTGGTGACGTTAGGATGTTCCAGGAATGATTTAACGTATAAGAGCAGTAGTGTATGGGTGAAATTCTTACTAAAATAACAAAATAAAAAACCCAGCCGAGCACTCCCCAAACAGCAACGTTAAGTTTGTATTTTTAAAAAAAAAAAAAATTAACAATAAAAAATATCAAGATCTTGTCATGTCGATACGTTTATTACTCCATAATGTCACATGACATTACATGTGATCGACGTATGAATGGTGAAGTGGAACTCGGCCATGGTTAGTCTGTGGGTAAAAGAAGGCTTCACAATCACCACCCATGTTCACAAGCACAGCAAGCTGTTTATCAACACAAACAGCAGCATAAATAATCACACAGAACCAAGACGATAACCCCATTCGCATATTTATGATAGATTTCGTTAGCACGAGTCGGGATATATAGCTTTACGACCCCCCGGGGATGATGGCTGACGTATGTTGTGTTGTTACTTAATGCTGGTAGTAGGTTTGCCCTTACATAATAACTGTTTGAATGCCGTTCGGAAATCAGAACTACTGAAGTTGTATAAAAACGGATTTATCATAGAGTTCAGATATGACAACCAAAACGCCAAATTATAAACAATTGATGACACTGCTTCCGGTTTGGCGGCCCGGACGTCGAACACAATATGAAAAGGAAGCCAGCATATGATATACCCCGCCAGGATATAAGTGAGCGTAGTAAACACCCGCCTCTCGTGTCTCTCATATTTAGCTTCCTCTTTTCTCTGTTTCCGTTTTTTACTTTGCCTATTGATGAAGCTTCTCTGTCTTTTGTTCGTCGTTTGGTCTGGCTGAGTTTGTCTTTGTAAGCAATCATTATCACCGTCCGTTTGGGTCGCGGAATTCACTACTGGACTACAAATTGGTTCCAGACGAATACCGTAGCACTTGTTTCCATTCTCCGGTTCCGTTTTCTTGGTGTACATGGACGGTGTATGTGACGTGTCCTGCTTGGCAGTGTGCGTGTCGCGGGAAGCGTCACTTGAAGTGTCGACATGAATAACGTGACTCTCAACCGACACTTCCGCCGGACTGTCATGACCAGGCCTGGCACACCGGATGTTGGTGGGAGACCCTACTGTAGGTGATCTATCGGAGAGTCGTGTATGGCCAAGGCCCACTTTTTGGCGCTGTACAAGCGTGAAGAACACTTTCACATAACAGACAACCATGACGGTAAACGCTCCATGATGGCCGATTGTCGCTATGACGACGACAAATTCTTTGTTTTTGGACGGTTCCCACACGCACTTGTTAGGGACGGAGTTATTGATTCTGTCCATTATACAGGCTGGTAGCCACAACAGCAGAGTTGATACCCTAAAATGAAAAAAAATGGAAATCATGAAATGAAGCAATATCTGGAATTAATAATTACTCACATCTTTGAATACAAACGGTTAATTTTTAATAAACACTATAAAAACAATTATGTTTTAATAGCGAAACGCTGGTTTGAATAGTTTTTGACAACGTCCGACAAATATTGTGGTCAAAACCCTATCTTTCAATTTTCTCAGAGTTTCTAAAAATAAATGCCAAATTCTATTCGTCTACTTTCCTTAACTCTGCTTTGATTCCAGTCTATGTACGTGTATGGATAGTACACAGAATTAATCTTCATAGTTGCTAACCTTTCAGTCGCTGGTTACTGACTAGGCAAGAGGTCTATCTAGCAACAAGTTCCGGTCTCGTACGGTATGATTACGTCCATGGTTGTAGTAACCGTTTTGGAGTATGATATTATTGTTACAAACAATGACCATGACAAATAGAAGACGTTTCTGCCTTTAGTTTTGGTAGTGTAATTAGTCACGCCTATAATTCAAGGCCCTAAATACATACAGATTTACCATAAAGCTTAAGGATTGAAACGTTATAGCCGCATGCATTCGTACCGTAGTAATCTAAAATTGTATTTCGTTGCAGAAATAGAACAAGCAAATTCGTGGAATTTATATCCCCCGCTTGCAGGACATTTTGTAGGTTAACATTATTGAGGTTAGGTTTAAACATGTGAGTATCGTAATGCTTGAAACTTGAAGAAAAAAAGCCCTATATCTCATTGATTATTCGTAAATATGCACAAATCAAATCTCAAACATAGCATGAGTCGGATGTGCATACGGAATTCGGTTGAAACACCTGAACAATATTTACAGCAATTATTATCACACGAAAACCAAAGAGTGCCAAAGATGGGTGAAAAGACAGAGGAACACAAACATTGTGATCAAGTTTGAAGGAATTTGGCTAATATTTGCTAGTTATTAAGCGGAAACTGCAAATAATGATGTTTTTCATTAGTTAAGGGGCCATAACTCTGCATAATGAAGTCCGATTAAAGTGGTTGTCAAACTTGGCCCTTACTGCGTTGAACCCTGTGGCTAAGGTTGAAGAAAATCGGTTAACATTTGTTGTAGTTATTGCACGGAAAGGAGGTGTGGCAGATAATGACGTTTTTCATTATTCAAGGGGCCATAACTCCGCCAAATTGGCTCCGCTGAAAATTGTCATCGCACTAGGCCGAGCCCTTAACGCATTTAACCCTTTGACCAAGTTTTAAGAAAATCGGATAACATTTGTTGTAGTTATTGCACAGGAACGAAACGTGACAGACAGACAAACCCAAATTAATATCCCCCGTTTCGGTGAAAGCGGGGGATAACAAGTAAAGGACATTCGAATTGTATATATATATACATAGTATATCATTGATTGCACTGTGACTATAGGAGAGTACATCAGAAACAGTTAATTAATTAGGGATCAACGTTACATTTACGACATTTCACTTCTTCCCCATTGTACGGCTCCTAACAAGTACCAAATCTTATTGGATTTGACATTATAAATATCCAATATCCTTTATTGCCCTACTTGATTTGATCGGGGTTTTACTAGCCTGTCACCAATATCGATGTGGTGCTAGGAGCGATACTGTTTAGTGTGGTATTAGTAGCGCGCCCTGTTCATTCAAGGCTGATGGATCAATGAGTGTCAAATGCAGGCGGCGGTCAATGGTTGTGTAATTTGTCACTAAGATTGGGGTATTGCTCATTACAATGCGGGCAATGGTACACTGTGAGTAAACAGTATTGGTAAAGTTGGCCTTCTAGTTCAACACAGTACACACGGCGATTGTTACGTCAAAACAATGTATACCCTGACAAATACTTTCACACATAGAAACCGATAAGTTGACGTCGGTTGTTAGGAAAACATTGAAATCAATGAAGAAATCGTATAATACTTATTTAAGTCTGATCAATACAAAAACATTAGGTTTTGTTCAAGTGATGTTTACCCCTGGCCATGGCCAGCGTACTGCTACTAAACTGTTGGTGTATAAGCAATATGGCACTGTTTGGCCACGCTTTAAAATCAAAGATCATTGGCGAACCTGAAGGTCAACTGTTGACCAATGGTCAATGAGTATAGTCCCGTCACAAACGACATCGCGACAAAAGCGATACAGTGCGGCCCTAAGGGACCTGTAGTTGTACCAGATCCAACCAATGGCTGAACACCACTACACCCGGGTAAACTGTATTATGTACAGAACATTGGGGACACAGATTCAACGTTCCGACCTTGTAATGACGACTGGGAGAAGGACACAATTAATGCAAATATATTTAATGCATCAACATCATGATTTAATAGTAAACATTGATAAACATATTACCATCAGCAGAGGTGACATCACCTTCCGAGCTCTGTTATCGCGTAGTCCAGTTTGTTCCAACAACGCTTTACTCCCAAACCAAAGCGATGCGTGTAATTGAGCGTCTTTTTAGGCTAGCTTTAATAGGTGAGGCTTAGATATGAAGCTGGCTTAGAGTGTAAAGATGATTATGACAGTAGGGGAAGGGGTCGCGAGATATTTAATGTGGTAAAGGGCTGATATAAATACGGACCCATAAAACACTCACAAAACTACAGCAACTCAGTCAAATATACCGGTACTACTATTGAAGGAGGAATAAATAAATAATAAGTAAACAAAAGTACAAAAAGCAACAAAACATAAAATACAAAATGGGATTACTAGGTGGCTTGCGGGAACAGTATTAATCGAAAAGAGACGTCAAAAATGAATCCGTTTTATGCAAAACCATTTATTCTGTCGATATTTATAGTCAAACATGAGGCATCTGATGTGCTTTCTGTATATATAGAACAATGTATATATGGTGGTATACTTACAGTATTATGCTATGTATGGTGATATACTTACAGTATTATGCTATATATGGTGGTATACTTATAATATTATGTTATATATGGTGGTATACTTACAGTATTATGTTATGTATGGTGATATACTTGCAGTATTATGTTATATATGGTGGTATACTTATAATATTATGTTATATATGATGGTATACTTATAATAATATGTTGTGTATGGTGATATACTTACAGTATTATGTTATATATGGTGGTATACTTATAACATTATGTTATATATGGTGGTATACTTACAATAGTATGTTATATATGGTGGTATACTTATAATATTATGTTATGTATGGTGGTATGCTTATAATATTATGTTATATATGGTGGTATACTTACAGTATAATGATATAGATGGTGGTATACTTGATGTATTGTGTTATATATGGTGGTATATTTACAATATTATGTTATATATGGTGATATACTTACAGTATTATGTTATATATGGTGGTATACTTATAACATTATGTTATATATGGTGGTATACTTACAATAGTATGTTATATATGGTGGTATATTTATAATACTATGTTATATATGGTGGTATACTTATAATATTATGTTATATATGGTGGTAAACTTACAGTATAATGATATAGATGGTGGTATACTTGATGTATTGTGTTATATGTTTTGGTATGTTTTGGTGTCCCCACGCCTCTGCATAATTTTGGGTAATTTCCTCTGCGTCGACGTTCATTCTTTTCAGTGGATATGGGAGAATTCACTAATAGACCTGCTGCGTCCCAATGCATATGCATCGTAAAAGGCGACCGATGTCCCCCGCCCCCAGAATCGGGGGCTTTGTTTTATGCGTACTAAGAGGACATTTAGGGGACGAAATTTGATCTGTTGCACCCAACACTTTGCGTTTATTTCTTTAACTATTATTTCTTTCCTCTCTTTCTTTCCTTTCTACCTTCCCATCTACTTTCCTATCTACTTTCCTCGACGTTGGCTCCCTAGGCACCCGTCTTCATTATGACCCTTACTTTCGCGATGACGTTAAACTCGATTAAAATGTTATACTTGGAGGTAAACTTACCATACTGCTACGATGAGGCGCACAGCTTTGATCTTGTTGTGGTGTGCTCGGTAATGAAGACTCCATGTGACGGACCAGAATCTGTCCACTGAGATCGCTATGAGTGTGAATACTGACGCAAACGTCATTCCGTAATCTACAAAAATCCAAACTCCACACAGGAACTCACCAAAAGGCCAGTAGCCTAACACTGTCTCCGTGGTGTAGAAACTCATAGCTGTGACGGCCACTAGTAAGTCCGTCACGGCTAAATTGATGACGTAAATATTGAAGACGGTCTGGAGACGTTTGTTCCTAGCAACAGCGATGAGAACGAGGATGTTTCCACAGATGGTCAGAAGAACGGCGGCATACATGACAACTCCCATCCCAATGCTCCTCCATACAAGAAACGTCCGATCGTCCGGAATTACGTCCGACTTGTTGGTCGTCATATTAAAAGTCCCGTTATACGTCAGGTTGTAAGGCACATTCGCATGCAGCACGGACACAGCCCAGTCCGCCATGTTGACGGACTGACCACTCGAACCAAACAAATAGTGTTTGGACACGTATGAACGACGGTCGAGGTCCAGTGTTTACTAACGGTTACTGAGTCTGGTCAGTGTGGGAGCTTGTTAGCGGCATGTTGATGTGTTTACACTCCAGCCAACATCTGGCCGGCTTATTGACAAACAGGGATTAATATATCGGTCACTTCGGACATAATACGGGACATACCACCGGACAGGTCGCGTCTATCGCCCTGCTAGCAATTTGTACGGGTAACTAGTGGGGTACGGCATTCATTATTGATGGCGCGGCATGCATCCACTTACGAGTCCAACAGACTGGTCAGTGAGGGCCATTCCGCGCACGTCATGAATAACTCAACTCTCGTCTTGGTAAAGTTGAAGAATGAATCTATTTCAACCGTCTATACACGGCAGATCCATACACAGCATTTTAATTAGACATTTTGGTGTGGTCTTCAGATACATATCCACCGTTAAATTTGCTAAATAAACAAATATACTACAATCTGCAAAACGTCATGGTGTCATCCAGAATAAAATACATCGAGCAAACCTGCACAGTTTTTTTGTGGTTACTGAGCAAACATACGATCTAAGGGGGTTACTTAGAATACATTCACAACTAAAGTGTGGTTACTGAGCAATCATACGATCTAAGGGAGTTACTTAAAATACATTCACAACTAAAATGTGGTTACTGAGCAATCATACGATCTAAGGGAGTTACTTAAAATACATTCACAACTAAAATGTGGTTACTGTGCAATCATACGATCTAAGGGGGTTGGTTAGAATACATTCACAACTAAAATGTGGTTACTGAGCAATCATACGATCTAAGGGGGTTACTAAGAATACATTCACAACTAAAGTGTGGTTACTGAGTAAACATACGATCTAAGGGGGTTACTTAGAATACATTCACAACTAAAGTGTGGTTACTGAGTAAACATACGATCTAAGGGGGTTACTTAGAATACATTCACAACTAAAGTGTGGTTACTGAGTAAAAATACGATCTAAGGGGGTTACTTAGAATACATTCACAACTAAAGTGTGGTTACTGAGTAAAAATACGATCTAAGGGGGTTACTTAGAATACATTCACAACTAAAGTGTGGTTACTGAGTAAAAATACGATCTAAGGGGGTTACTTAGAATACATTCACAACTAAAGTGTGGTTACTGAGTAAAAATACGATCTAAGGGGTTACTTAGAATACATTTACAACTAAAGTGTGATTACTGAGTAAAAATACAATCTAAGGGGTTACTTAGAATACATTTACAACTAAAGTGTGATTACTGAGCAAACATACAATCTAAGGGGGTTACTTAGAATACATTCACAACTAAAGTGTGGTTACTGAGTAAACATACGATCTAAGGGGGTTACTTAGAATACATTCACAACTAAAGTGTGGTTACTGAGTAAAAATACGATCTAAGGGGTTACTTAGAATACATTTACAACTAAAGTGTGATTACTGAGTAAAAATACAATCTAAGGGGTTACTTAGAATACATTTACAACTAAAGTGTGATTACTGAGCAAACATACAATCTAAGGGGGTTACTTAGAATACATTCACAACTAAAATGTGGTTACTGAGCAATCATACGATCTAAGGGGGTTACTAAGAATACATTCACAACTAAAATGTGGTTACTGAGCAAACATACGATCTAAGGGGGTTACTTAGAATACATTCACAACTAAAGTATGGTTACTGAGTAAATATACAATCTAAGGGGGTTACTTAGAATACATTCACAACTAAAGTGTGTTTACTGAGTAAACATACGATCTAAGGAGGTTACTTAGAATACATTTACAACTAAAGTGTGGTTACTGAGCAAACATACGATCTAAGGGGGTTACTTAGAATACATTCACAACTAAAGTGTGATTACTGAGCAAACATACGATCTAAGGGGGTTACTTAAAATACATTTACAACTAAAGTGTGGTTACTGAGCAAACATACGATCTAAGGGGGTTACTTAGAATACATTCACAACTAAAGTGTGATTACTGAGCAAACATACGATCTAAGGTGGTTACTTAAAATACATTTACAACTAAAGTGTGGTTACTGAGTAAAAATACGATCTAAGGGGGTTACTTAGAATACATTCACAACTAAAGTGTGGTTACTGAGCAAACATACGATCTAGGGGGGTTACTTAGAATACATTCACAACTAAAGTGTGGTTACTGAGCAAACATACGATCTAGGGGGGTTACTTAGAATACATTCACAACTAAAGTGTGGTTACTGAGTAAACATACGATCTAAGGGGGTTACTTGGAATACATTTACAACTAAAGTGTGGTTACTGAGTAAATATTCGATATAAGGGGGTTACTTAGAATACATTCACAACTAAAGTATGGTTACTGAGCAAACATACAATCTAAGGGGGTTACTTAGAATACATTCACAACTAAAGTGTGGTTACTGAGTAAAAACACAATCTAAGGGGGTTACTTATAATACATTCACAACTAAAGTGTGGTTACGGAGCTATTTCATTTATTTTTGATGCCCTATTTTAGAGGGATACTGAGATAATTGATATATATTGTGGATGCCCCTATTTTAGAGGGATACTGAGATAATAAACATATTTAGTTATTAAAGATTGGGTACTGATTTTACATGTATATACACAATGTTAAAGCGTTACTGCTCTAACATACACAAATATATAGGGTGAAAGAGCAAACTTTTAAGGGGGTTACTTTGCTAACATAAATAATTTTAGGAGGGTAACTGAGCACATACATACACACTTTGAGGGGTAACTGAACAAACATACACACTGTTAAAGGGTTGCGGAACAAATAATACCCAATTTTAATTCGAGGGGTTTGGGGGTAAGTTCTGTTTGTTAATTAGATACCAAACCATTATATATCAATCACCGCAATAACAGTACATGGTGTCATCGGACAAATCTTCAGAATTAATGACGTCATCCGGCGACAATATACAACTGGGGTGTCATCAATAAAAAATAAGTGATACAGGTTGTACATGTAATCTAGAAGCAAGATACACATATCATAGTTCATTATGTAAAACTATGTGCTAGGTACTAAGAACAAGTGTTTATGTGAAGGATACTATTTTACGATACCTATAGCTTGTTGATGTAACCTGTTGTAAGACGGTGCTCATCAGTGTAACTAGCTGCGTACCGGACACGACCCTACAGAAAGGATAATGAGTATAGCGGCCTCATAACTTCGACCCTCCCCGACCATTACACCCCTCCCTGTCTGTGTCATAAACCAACGATGTCAACCATGCGCTGATCGTATAAACAAGAAAGTCGATGGCCTCCCAAGTTATAATACCGCCAGCTTTATATACCTACCAGATACAATTAGCTACATTTTGTAGGTACACGTGCGTTGATTATGACGGACGAATGGCGTCATTGCATTCTGCGTTTTGCACATCATCTATATAAATCGGTGAACAGTTAGCTAACACTGCTCAGATATGTAATAATACGGAAACCGAAAAAGTTAGGGAGAAAGAAAACACCACTGTAGAGAAAGCCTAATTAACAGGCGGGGCATTTTATCCTCGTCAAAAAGTGTTATATTTATAATACTGAGTTTAGTCTACGCACTTCGCTAGCAGGTTTTAGTGTAATGTCTCCACCATCTAAGTGTGTTTGAATAGCGTCTTCCATGTGAGTATCCATATTGGATACCCCTTTCTCATATACGTGTGATGAAATTATTTTGGGGAGGGGCGATATTGTCATTGTCAATCAACCGGAAGTTCAATTAAATTGACGTACAGAAAGTAATGACTGTAACAACACATACATGCCTTAACGCCATACATGCGAATGATTCCGCCAAACACGTCGTACACCCCAAACAATACTGGCACCGCCGAGTAGATAACGTTCTGTAACGCTAGCCAAAAAATCGGTGACATCATTAAAACTGATCTGCCGGGTATTCTGACGTAAGCCCAAACATCGTCAGTTAGTTTACCTTAAGACCCAACAAAATTATCCAAGCAAAACTTTTGAACGTAACTTTTGATTGCTTGTTGTAAGGTGTCGTACATTCACAGACACCTTCGTTTCGATGTGGATATGTTTTTCTCACACCTCAGACAGGGATATCCCACGTGATACTTCCATGTAGATTACTAGAACCTTCCCCTACTTTGTAGGTGTGACAGAGAAATCTCCTACCCGAGGGGTGGTGTTCTTTGGATGTTTAACCCGAGGGTCTGCCCAGGGTTAGACAACCAAATAAAAGTCACCCCGATGGTTGGAAATTTCTCTGTTACACCCTCAAGGTAGAGGATTATAGTTTTTCTCCCATCCTATTATTTCAGTCACAACTCCATCGACAGTAGTCTGCCATGTTTTTAAACAAAACACCTATGGGGTATGAATATCGTCATTCACTTTTGATGACGTCACAATTACTGGTGACATATTTTAATGACATCACAATTGAACACGTGCTAACCGGCACGAGGCTATCTCCCCCTAGGGGTTGACAAGCTGATCTTTCCCGGCTAAAACGGGAGACACACACGTGAAGGGAGAAAAGGATATATCACACCGGTATAAGTGCGGATACACCTTGCCCTTTGTTAAGAGAATTTTCTATCGCGTCCGATCGATCTGTCTTTCATCTTTACGTGACATTTCGCGGGATTTTCACACAGCGGTGCATTCATCCACACGATGACGGTTTGAAATTGACAGTAGCATTATAAATAATATGTTTTGTGGTTAAATGTTTAGATTTCGTACAATACTCTGATGTTGTAGGAAACAAATATAATCTATATGTAACGTTCGTAACACAAAAAAGGCGACTTACTTGACAATTGTCGGGTACGAAAAAACGAACTTTAGTGACAAGTCCATTTCTTCTTTTCTTCAAATCTATAAGAATAGAAAAAACCCATTTAAAACCACAGAGTTATAAATAATTCCAAATCTATAAGTATAGAAAAAACCACAGAGTTATAAATAATTCCACGAACATCCCTATCTATAAATATTGATTACTCTTTTATCTATAAATAAATGTCAGAAAAACCCACACTATGATTGCAAGATGATGTAACACGTGAGTCTTTAAATGAATATTTTTGTTAGCGGTCATTCGTATATATATACATCGGCATCTAACACCGCCTCACTTATAATTAAGTACACAACAATGAGATACACTCACTGTGAAGCTATTCCAAACCCTTTCAATCTTAAAGTGTACGTTCGGTATTACATACGTTTTCCTATTATTTCTAAATAGGTTCTTGGTTAATTTGTACGGCATCGAGGACATTTTATTATCAACTATCTTTATTGTTGAATAAGCGTTATCATTGTCGATATTTATAAAAATAAACCTGTGTAAAATATAGGAGAAAAGGTGAAAAGCGTTATTGTAGGAAAGAGGAAAGGGAAAACAAGCCAATGGCTGCGATGTAATTGTTACTCATGACAGAAATTGTTGATATTATACTAAGAATGATATAAATGATATACCCGGCCCGTTTCCATATAGTAATATAGAATTGCATTTAGTCGGCATTCATAGGCAATATTTTTTTAATAAATTATTAATAATGATTTTCATCTGTTACCTTAAGATTCCTGTGGGTTGGAATAATTCCTGATACTTTGTTACATTACAAAAAAATGTGGTTTCTTCTGTTTCGATCTCGCTTTGAAATGGATTCGAAAAGGCTGCGACTGACCAAACACTCACTAGCTAATCAATAAGGCACATGCTAATTATCATAACAGGGGTATAGATCTGTACGTGTACTTCTATCAATGTTATCGGTGAACCTTTGTATTTATGGATATTTTATAATTACGCCATGTTTCGATGTGGTAGCTGTTCTATGACGTTATCAACTTTTAGGAACTTGAATCACAGGTAGAAATAATTTCCATATCACTTTTAAATCCTCTATAGATGCTGAATCCATTTACGACCCTACATATTTCGTATGAGTAATATGCTGATCAGAAAGAAAAAAACAACTTTTTATTAACAAGTTCGTACGGAACGAACTCAAGTTTTGAACAAGTGTATAGAGCTATATAGATTCATCGTATAATCCTAAAACGTATTAACACACCAGTTTATGTCCAAATATATCTATAATGTAACCTGTTTTCAGGTTCATTTGGGAAACCCCCACAGCGTACCATATTGGTAACGTGACGCTACACTGCACACCAATGTGTGTATAATATAGGGGAGATAATTCTAGAATGTTTGCTTCAACTTCCTGGTTGTAAATGTTTATAAATAATGTCAGTTGTACCCAGGTTGTAGACTAGGAAACAATCGTAACAAGGAAGCCATTAACATGTTGGAATTTTCTGGTACGAACTTAACTAACAGGTGATTCCCATGCAGGCATTCCGTAAGTAAGTTTTAAAGTACAATTCTAGTATCCAGAATCTGTACCTGATGTATGTGTTCCTGAGTTTGGGTACATGTCAGAAACAGCAGATAAATACACGAACGGTCATGTTATTTACCGGGTCATACCGTGAATGTCTCCAAGTACACGTATCTGAATAAAGACGTAATGTTTAAGTCCTCGTACAACTTTTATGCAAAGTGAAAGTAGATCGTGTACATTTGTCAAAAGGCACACCTTGACCAGGTTGTCAATAGACATAGGGGCCGAACCTAAGGTGAATAAATTGTCCATATTAATGTGATTTAAATATTATTAGGTACCTAACATGGTCACTCAGCATTGGGCAGATGAACATGTACACTTGTTACACGTGTGTATACAAGATACACATGTACCAGGTGGGTAATTCATTTGAGAGTATAAAACTCTTTCGTTTAAGAAATGGAGATGGATTTGAAAATTTCCTTTCAGGGGAATCGTAAATCAAATATATATTAATGATTGATATATCTATTCACCTATTGTATAAAATAAGAAGTTTTCTCCTCTCATATCCAATATTTCAATATCAAATGTTCTACCTCCCGAACACTCAACAACGCAAACAGATGTACATAATGTAACCATTTTGTTCCAGTAATTTTGCAAGAGTTTTTTAACTTACAAGAATGCAAAATAGATACATGTCATACATGTTTATATAGATCTACACGTCACGTATATATAGAGATACATGCTACGTATTTGTCACATAAATAGGTACATGTCATATTTACATGTTACATATATATAAATACATTATACATGCAGGCATACACACATAGAGAGATATTTGCCAGGTGGTATAGGACTAGTAGTTAGCGCCTGATAAGGCAGCTCCGGCGAATTCCTCAACATTGTATTGATTATTGTATATGCTTAATGTATTCATTGTATTAAATTGTATATCTTTGTACTGTAAAACGCTTTAGAGTTGCTTATGTGAGCTAGATAGGGCGCTATATATTATTTATTATTTTACATGTATAGAAACATGTAACATATATAGATACACATCACATATATAGATACATGTTACATATATAGATACACATCACATATTTATAGATGCATGTTACATATATAGATACATGTTACATATATAGATACATGTTACATATATAGATACATGTCACATATATAGATACATGTTACATATATAGATACATGTTACATATATAGATACATGTTACATATATAGATACATGTTACATATATAGATACATGTTACATATATAGATACATGTTACATATATAGATACATGTTACATATATAGATACATGTTACATATATAGATACATGTTACATATATAGATACATGTTACATATATAGATACATGTTACATATATAGATACATGTTACATATATAGATACATGTTACATATATAGATACATGTTACATATATAGATACATGTCACATATATAGATACATGTTACATATATAGATACATGTTACATATATAGATACATGTTACATATATAGATACATGTTACATATATAGATACATGTTACATATATAGATACATGTTACATATATAGATACATGTTACATATATAGATACATGTTACATATATAGATACATGTTACATATATAGATACATGTTACATATATAGATACATGTTACATATATAGATACATGTTACATATATAGATACATGTTACATATATAGATACATGTTACATATATAGATACATGTTACATATATAGATACATGTTACATATATAGATACATGTTACATATATAGATACATGTTACATATATAGATACATGTTACATATATAGATACATGTTACATATATAGATACATGTTACATATATAGATACATGTTACATATATAGATACATGTTACATATATAGATACATGTTACATATATAGATACATGTTACATATATAGATACATGTTACATATATAGATACATGTTACATATATAGATACACATCACATATAAAGATACACGTTACATATATAGATACATGTTACATATATAGATACATGTTACATATATAGATACACATCACATATAAGGATACATGTTACATATATAGTACATGTCACATATATAGATACATGTCACATCTATAGATACATGTTACATGTATAGATAGACATCACATATATAGATACATGTCACATATATAGATACATGTTACATATATAGATACATGTTACATATATAGATACACATCACATATATAGATATATGTTACATATAATATAGATACATGCTACATATACAGATACATGTTACATATATATATACACATCACATATATAGATACATGTTACAGATATATGTTACATATATAGATACACATCACATACATATATAGATACATGTTACATATTATAAAGATACATGTTACATATAATATAGATACATGGTACATATAATATAGATACATGTTACATATATAGATACATGTTACATATATAGATACATGTTACATATATAGATACATGTTACATATATAGATACATGTTACATATATAGATACATGTTACATATATAGATACATGTTACATATATAGATACATGTTACATATATAGATACATGTTACATATATAGATACATGTTACATATATAGATACATGTTACATATATAGATACATGTTACATATATAGATACATGTTACATATATAGATACATGTTACATATATAGATACATGTTACATATATAGATACATGTTACATATATAGATACATGTTACATATATAGATACATGTCACATATATAGATACATGTTACATATATAGATACATGTTACATATATAGATACATGTTACATATATAGATACATGTTACATATATAGATACATGTTACATATATAGATACATGTTACATATATAGATACATGTTACATATATAGATACATGTTACATATATAGATACATGTTACATATATAGATACATGTTACATATATAGATACATGTTACATATATAGATACACATCACATATAAAGATACATGTTACATATATAGATACATGTTACATATATAGATACATGTTACATATATAGATACATGTGACATATATAGATACATGTTACATATATAGATACATGTTACATATATAGATACATGTTACATATATAGATACATGTCACATATATAGATACATGTTACAGATATATGTTACATATATAGATACACATCACATATATAGATACATGTTACAGATACATGTTACATATAACATAGATACATGTTACATATATAGATAAATGTTACATATATAGATACATGTTACATATTTTTATACATGTAACATATATAGATACATATTTTTATACATGTTACATATATAGATACATGTTACATATATAGATACATGTTACATATATAGATACATGTTACATATATAGATACATGTTACATATATAGATACATGTCACATATATAGATACATGTTACAGATATATGTTACATATATAGATACACATCACATATATAGATACATGTTACAGATACATGTTACATATAACATAGATACATGTTACATATATAGATAAATGTTACATATATAGATACATGTTAAATATATTTATACATGTAACATATATAGATACATGTTACATATATAGATACACATCACATATAAAGATACATGTCACATATATAGATACATGTTACATATATAGATACATGTCACATATATAGATACATGTCACATATATAGAAACTTGTTACATATACAGATACATGTTACATATATAGATACATGTCACATATACATATACTTGTTACATATACAGATACATGTTACATATATAGATACACATCACATATAAAGATACATGTCACATATATAGATACATGTTACATATATAGATACAAGTTACATATACAGATACATGTCACATATATAGATACACATCACATATAAAGATACATGTCACATATATAGATACATGTTACATATATATATACACACCACATATATAGATACATGTTACAGATATATGTTACATATATGATACATGTTACATATAGAGATACATGTCACATATATAGATACATGTTACATATATAGATACACACCACATATATAGATACATGTTACAGATATATGTTACATATATAGATACATGTTACATATAATAACGATACATGTTACATATATAGATACATGTTACATATATAGATACAAGTTACATATACAGATACATGTCACATATATAGATACACATCACATATAAAGATACAAGTTACATATACAGATACATGTCACATATACAGATACATGTCACAGATATAGATAAATGTTACATATATAGATACATGTTACATATATAGATACATATTACATATATATATACATGTTACATATATAGATACATGTTACATATACAAATACATGTTACATATATAGATACATGTTACATATATAGATACATGCTCGGTATGTACATGTACATTTTCCCCACCTCTCATACATGTATGCCAGAGATACGTTTCGGCTAGGGACAGTACGGACGAAACGTGTATCACCGATTGGTGACTAAATGAGTGGCTTTTGATAAATACAAAGTTCATTCATTGTCATAGGGATTGCTTTTCCTGCCTTTTTTTATCCTTTTTTGTTGTTGTCAGTACCCGAAAATTTAACGACACCAAACGGTGCCAGAGAATTCGTAGTACTTTCTAGCCCCACACTGGACAAATATCTATCAAAATATGTAAGACTAGTATTTTGGACTGATGATACCCCGGCTACCAGCAATATCCAAATCTAAAAAAAATGGACTCTCTCCTTATAATACAATGCTGGGATTTTTTGAAATATTTTTGTATATAAACTTGCCCTGCAAAAACTTGTATTTTAAAAACAATCAAATAGTTTGTTCGAATAATAATATAAAATAGCCGGTATGATGTTAGCCTACTGTAATCAAAACATAATCAGAATTATGTTCTATCCTCGTCCTATACTGACCACCGTAACCACTTTCTCGTGACCTGACGTTTTTTTGTACATGTATAATTGCAAACACAGTCTAATTTTACTGGTTGTAGACAGAGGGTTTGTTTAAAACGAATTTCTGCTACCTTCGACTCCGTTTTCCAAAGACGACTTGAAGAGTATATAAGAAAAGGGTACAGGAATTCTGGAACGTATCGGTTGAGCAGTCACAAAAATAGCGTCACACGAGAAACACTCACTAACGATAGAGAGCGTCAGTGAGCGTAACTCCTAGATACCGAGGATGGATAGAGAGCGTCAGTGAGCGTAATTAACCCCTGGATATCGAGGATGCGTAGAGAGAGTCAGTGAGCGTAACCCCTAGATATCGAGGATGCGTAGAGAGTGTCAGTGAGCGTAACCCCTGGATATCGAGGATAGCGTCAGTGAGCGTAACCCCTAGATCTCAAGGATGGGAAGAAAGCATCAGTGAGCGTAGCCCCTAGATATCGAGGATGGATAGAGAGCGTTAGTGAGCGTAACCCCTAGATATCGAGGATGCGTAGAGAGCGTCAGTGAGTGTAACCCCTGGATATCGAGGATAGCGTCAGTGAGCGTAACCCCTAGATATCGAGGATGCGTAGAGAGCGTCAGTGAGCGTAGCCCCTGGATATCGAGGAGAGCGTCAGTGAGCGTAACCCCTGGATATCGAGGAGAGCGTCAGTAGGTGTAACCCCTAGATATCGAGGATGGATAGAGAGCGTCAGTTAGCGTAGCCCCTGGCTATTAAGGTGTCTGACATTCTGCTACCATTAGCCCTCCACCACTGGGTCGCGGGTTCGAGGCCTATGTAGGGCAGTCGCCAGGTACTGTCCGTAGGTCGGTGGTTTTTCTCCGGGAACTCCGGCTTTCCTCCACCACCAAAACCTGGCACGTCCTTAAATGACCATAGCTATTAAAAGGACGTAAAAACACAAACAAATCAAACCCCTGGATATCGAAGAGAGCGTCAGAGAGCGTAACCCCTGGATATCAAGGATAGAGAAAGATGGAAAGGACAAGTTTTTAATGTTGCCAAAACCCACATTATTAGATTAAACTATACGATGACTGATCTAACTTAATACGTGTTGTGTTTAGGTATCCACAATAACCATGGCTAGAGAGAAGATTATCAGCAACTTCAAATTTCTTATACAAAATGTGGAACCAGCTCCGATACTGGATATTTTGATACAACGAGGCCACACAAACGTTGCAAACATTCGGACTGAGTGCAGGAATGATAAATGTGAAGCAAATCGCCTGATGATTGAAAGTCTGCCAAGGATGAAGGACGGTAACGGATATGAACACTACATCGATGCGCTGAAGGAGGAAAACATGTCCTTTGTTCTGGAGAAACTAGGATTACCCAAAGGTGAGTCTAGTCTGTTGAAAAAGGAAACCTTGTCACAAAGATAGAAAACAGTGACCATGTCAACCCTAAGACAGATACAGGTGACATAATGGTCACTTAGACAGAAACAGAGGAGTGAATGGTCACTAGGACATAAAAAGGTGACTATATGGTCAATAGGACAGAAACGGGTGACTCGATGGTCACTTAGACAGATAGAAGTGACTATATGGTCACTAGGACAGATACAGGTGACTGTGTGGTCACTTCGACAAATATAGGTGACTGTATGGTCACTAAGACAGATACAGGTGACAGTATGGCCACAAAGACAGATACAAGTGACTGCGTGGTAACTAAGACATATACATGTGGCTGGATGGTCACTAGGACAAAAACAGGTGACTTGATGGTCACTAGGACAGAAAAAAGTGACTTTATGGTCACTGAAACAGATAAAGGTGACTCTATGATCCATAAGATAAATACAGGTGACTGTTTTATCACTTAGAAAAATACAGGTAATTGGGTTACAACAAAAGTTAGGTAAACGTGACTTATTGGTCACTAGGACAGATAAAGATTAGTGAGTGGTTATTATGGCTAGGACAGATAAAAGCTACGGTGGTCATAGAGAGAGACAAAAGTGACTTGCTTGTAATTGTGGCTAGATCAAAGTCCCAGAGTAAAAACTAAGTCACAAGGGCAGATAAAGGTGACTGATGATCACTGAACAAGATAATAGTGACTATTGTAACTATGACAGATACAGTTATCTGGGAAGTAACTTGGACGGATATTGGTGACTGGGTCGTCACTAGGACAGATACAGGTAAATAGTTGGTCACTAGGACAGATACAGGTAAATAGTTGGTCACTAAGACAGATACAGGTAAATAGTTGGTCACTAAGACAGATACAGGTAAATAGTTGGTCACTAAGACAGATACAGGTGACCGTGTAGTCACTAGGACAGATACAGGTAAATAGTTGGTCACTAAGACAGATACAGGTAAATAGTTGGTCACTAAGACAGATACAGGTGACTGTGTAGTCACTTGGACAGATAAAGGTGTCCTGGTTGTCAAAAGGACAGAAGCAGGTAAATGGGTGGTCATTCAAACGGATAAAGGTGACTGTGTGGTCACTAAGACAGATACAGGTCACTGATGATCACTAAGACAGGTAAAGATCACAGATGATCACTAAGACGGATAAAGGTCACTGATGATCACTTAGACAGATAACGGTCACTGATGATCAATAAGACATATAAAGGTTACTGATGATCACTAAGACAGATACACTGTGTGGTCACTCTGACAGATAAAGGTCACTGGTGATCACTTAGACATATAAAGGTCACTGATGATCAATAAGACGGGAGAAGGTCACTGATGATCACTAAGACGGATAAAGGTGAATGTTTGGTCACTAAGACAGATAAAGGTCAATGATGATTACTTAGACGGATAAAGGTCACTGATGATCACTAAGACAAATAAAGGTCACTGATGATCACTAAGACGGATATAGGTCACTGATGATCACTAAGACAGATGAAGGTAACTTTGTGGTCACTCAGACAGATAAAGGTCACTGATGATCACTAAGACAGATGAAGGTAACTTTGTGGTCACTCAGACAGATAAAGGTCACTGATGATCACTGAGACGAATAAAGGTTACTGATCATCAATAAGACGGATAAAGGTCACTGATGATCACTTAGACGGATAAAGGTCACTGATGATCACTTAGCCTGATAAAGGTCACTGATGATCACTTAGACAGATAAAGGCCACTGATGATCACTTAGCCTGATAAAGGTCACTGATGATCACTTAGCCTGATAAAGGTCACTGATAATCACTTAGACAGATAAAGGTCACTGATGATCAATAAGACGGATAAAGGTCACTGATGATCACACGGATAAATGTCACTTATGATCACTTAGACAGAAAAAGGTCACTGATGATCACTTAGACAGCTAAAGGTCACTGATGATCACTAAGACAGACACAGTTTACTGATGATCACTCAGACAGATAAAGGTCACTGGTGATCACTTAGACATATAAAGGTCACTGATCATAAGTTAGACGGAAAAATTGTTACTGATGAGGACTGATAAAGGTGACTGTGTGGTTACTAAGACGGATAAAGGTAACTGATGATCGCTAAGACGGATAAAAGTCACTAATGATAACTTAGACGGATAAAGGTTACTGATGATCACCAAGACGGATATAGGTCAATGATGATCACTAAGACAGATAAAGGTAACTTTGTGGGCACTCAGACAGATAAAGGTCACTGATGATGATCACTGAGACGGAAAAAGGTCACTGATGATCACTAAGACAAATAAAGGTCCCTGATGATCACTAAGACAGATAAAGGCCACTGATGATCACTTAGCCTGATAAAGGTCACTGATGATCACTTAGACGGATAAAGGTCACTAATGATCACTAAGACAGATAAAATTGACTGTGTGGTCACTAAGACTGATAGAGGTCACTAATGATCACTAAGACAGATAAAGTTGACTGTGTGGTCACTAAGGCTGATAGAGGTCACTAATGATCACTAAGACAGATAAAGTTGACTGTGTGGTCACTAAGGCTGATAGAGGTCACTAATGATCACTAAGACAGATAAAATTGACTGTGTGGTCACTAAGACTGATAGAGGTCACTGATGATTACTTAGACAGATAAAGATCACTGAATAAAGGTCATTGATGATCACTAGGACGGACAAAGGGTACTGATGATCACCAAGACGGATATAGGCCAATGATGATCACTAAGACAGATAAAGGTAATTGTGTGGCCCCTAAGACAGATAAACGTCACTGATGATCACTGAGACTGATAAACGGATAAAGGTTACTGATGATCACCAAGACGGATATAGGTCACTGATGATCACTAACACAGATCAAGGTGACTGTGTGGTCACTAAGACAGATACAGGTCACTGATGATCACTAAGACAGATGAAGGTAACTTTGTGGTCACTCAGACAGATAAAGGTCACTGGTGATCACTTAGACATATAAAGGTCACTGATCATAAGTTAGACGGAAAAATTGTTACTGATGAGGACTGATAAAGGTGACTGTGTGGTTACTAAGACGGATAAAGGTAACTGATGATCGCTAAGACGGATAAAAGTCACTAATGATCACTTAGACGGATAAAGGTTACTGATGATCACCAAGACGGATATAGGTCAATGATGATCACTAAGACAGATAAAGGTCACTGATGATCACTAGTATGGATAAGATAAAATTCACTGATGATCACTTAGACGGATAAATGTCACTGATGATCACTAAGACGGATATAGGTCACTGATGATCACTAGACAGATAAAGGTCACTGTGTGGTCACTCAGACAGATAAGGTCACTGATGATCACTTAGACGGATAAATGTCACTGATGATCACTAAGACAGAAAAAGGTAACTTTGTGGTCACTCAGACAGATAAAGGTCACTGTGTGGTCACTCAGACATATAAAGGTCACTGATGATCATTTAGACAGATAAAGGTCACTGATTATCTCTCAGTTAGATAAAGTTTACTGATGATCACTTAGACAAATAAAGGTCACTGATGATCACTGAGACGAATAAAGGTTACTGATCATCAATAAGACGGATAAAGGTCACTGATTATCACTCAGTTAGATAAAGTTTACTGATGATCACTTACACAGATAAAGGTGACTGATTATTACTTAGACAGATAAAGATAACTGATGATCATTTAGACAGATAAAGGTTACTGATGATCACCAAGACGGATATAGGCCAATGATGATCACTAAGACAGGATCACTTAGGCAGATAAAGGTCATTTATGATCACTAAGACGGATAAAGGTCACTGATTATCACTCAGTTAGATAAAGTTTACTGATGATCACTTAGACAGATAAAGGTGACTGATTATTACTTAGACAGATAAAGATCACTGATGATCATTTAGACAGATAAAGGTCACTGATGATCACTAAGACTGATAAAGGTCACTAATGATCACTCAGACAGAAAAGGTCACTGAAGATTACTAAGACGGATAAAGGTGACATTGTGGTCACTTGTATAGATAAAGGTTTCTTGGTTGTTGCTAAAACAGATAAAGGTCGCTGATGACCACTGAACAAGATTTAGGTTGATATGGTGACTAGGGCAGAGAGAGATATCTGGAAGGTAAATAGGACAGATACATGTAAAGGTGACTTTGTGGTCACTAAGACAGATAGAGTTCACTGATAACCACTAAGACGGATAATGGTCACTGATGATCACTAAGACGGATAATGGTCACTGATAATCACTAAGACGGATAATGGTCACTGATGATCACTAAGACGGATAAAGGTCACTGATGATCACAAAGACAGATAATGGTCACTGATGATCACTAAGACGGATAAAGGTCACTGATGATCACAAAGACAGATAATGGTCACTGATGATAACTTAGACAGATAATGGTCACTGATGATCACTAAGACGGATAAAGGTCACTGATGATCACAAAGACAGATAATGGTCACTGATGATAACTAAGACAGAAAAAGGTCACTGATGATCACTTAGACGGATATAGGTCACTGATGATCACTAAGACAAATAAAGGTCACTGTGTGGTCACTAAGACAAATAAAGGTCACTGATGATCACTAAGACAGATAAAGGTCACTGATGATCACTTAGCCTGATAAAGGTCACTGATGATCACTTAGACAGATAAAGGTCACTGATGATCACTAAGACAAATAAAGGTCACTGATGATCACTAAGACAGATAAAGGTCACTGATGATCACTTAGCCTGATAAAGGTCACTGATGATCACTTAGACAGATAAAGGTCACTGATGATCACTAAGACAAATAAAGGTCACTGATGATCACTAAGACAGATAAAGGTCACTGATGATCACTTAGCCTGATAAAGGTCACTGATGATCACTTAGACAGATAAAGGTCACTGATGA